CGTAGCCTGTTTGAGGACTGTATGTGACAGAGTGATGGACTGGCCTCATTTCTGAGGCAGTCGGTAGTAGAAAGGAAGGATGAACTACAAGGATGAATGAGATTGGAAGGGCTGCAAAGACACAATGCCCTTTAGGATGGCTGATGCAGGGAAAGAAAAGAGTTTCAGGAAGAGGAGGGGCTACAGCAAACATGGTCGTGGCATTTACATCCCGAGTGGTTTAGTATTAAAATGCTCTGAGCACTCCCTAAATCTGGTATTGTTCAGGACTGGTTTCTCCCATCTGAGAAGCGTCTTTGTTGACTGATAATCTTAACTTCAGCGCAGAGGGGGATTCACAAGAGGAAGATGGAAAATGAATAGCCTTTCTGTGAATGCCCAGTTTGTTCCATAATGTACAGGAGCTATTAAGATTGTTTGACTAGATGTGTGTTTCCATGAGAAACTTTGTCACATCTGAAATCTATGGGGCTTTCCAGACATTTTCCTGGTGGAACAGCTGCCTCAGAGCTACAGACTCCAAAGTAGAAAGAGGTTCTATGCAAAGCTGACAATGAAGCTCAGCATTTCACCAAAATGTCTCTTTGCTTGGTTTCCTATTTGTTTCACCCACCCTTCTGGCAATTTCCTGAAACTGGGTATAACAACCTGTCGTGGCTCCTCAAGACATATATTTTCTTGCTGAAATGTGCATTTAGCAGCTTTGGACAGACCCTACTGAGGATGAACGTTCCTCCAGAAGACCCAGGCTGCTCCCATCTATTGGATGCTCCGCAACCGCTTAGGTTGGCATTAGCTGCTGCATCACCCTTTTTTCTGCCCTCATTGTCATGCTCAGCAGACAGGCCAAGAACATGATGAGCCACAGAGACCCAGCAACTCCTACAGAAGCTGTTTCTCAAGGTCTTTTTTCCTGTTTCTACGTGAATACTATTATGTGTCCCTTCTCTAATTACAGACCTGTGCTATACAGCTTTCTTGTACCTTCATTTAAGGAGAATAAACAGATATGTCTCATGCTTTGGAAAGTGTTCTCCTAGGGAGATCTCATCATTCCTCATGGGAGCCTGAAGCAGGCTGGTGGCTGTTTTGTTTTGCCAGTGGAAGTCTCCATCCTCAAAGGCCACAGACGTTCTGATTTCGCACATAAAACCAGGCACTGTCATGCTATGTGCAGCGAGTGGACCCTTCCTTGGAGGTGCACCTCCTTCAATTCTGGCCATCAGGAGCACGCCATCTTCAAAGGTCTTGACTCCCTAGCAGCAGAGCCATGCAAGAGCAGACTAAAACCTTGTGAACGGGCTTCAGAGTGGCTCTGCTCAAGCTTGCCTTGCCCTTCATGGAGCAAACACAAAATTACAAAACCACCGAGTCACGCGAAAGCTGTGTCCAAGACAGCAGAAGACAGCATGTGACACCCCCGGGCTTCTGCTCAGTGTTCCCATCACCCAGCGGCGCTGCAGTTTGCGTTCGGTTTTTCACACGTGCGAATGCACAATGTGACCTCTGCGTGCCCTTGGCCGGTCCCGATTGTTTCTTTTGCCCTCTATGGCTGAGCCAGCGTTGGTTTTGTTCACTAGGTGATGAACTTCAAATCTTCTTTGCCTGACTGGGCTAGAATAAGTGTGCAAATGCTGTTCTCACAGAACTGATGGGGAAAGCCTGGAAATGGTGGCTGAAACTCACGCTTACCTTACTGGGTGATGTGATGTGATGTGGCAACTTAGGTCTTTTTGTGGTGCCGGAAGGGCTGTTTTGAAAGCTGACTGGTGCTGCTCGCCCATTCAGCAAACGATCTCCGACTGTCATGTTCAGGCTGGAAGCAGCCCACAAATTTTCCCAGGAAGGGTGAGAACATGATTGCTAAAAAGGAAAAAAAAACCAACATCAAACCCAAAACAAAACACTGTGTTAAATCTGTATCAGGCTATAATGGAAAAGATTATCCAAATGCCCCTGTTTTTTGCAGAGTTATCTCGGGTGTCCGTACAGTGTTGCTACTCCAGGGGTTTCTCAACCCAGGTACTGCACCATGGGAATGCTTTGGGGCCATCCCCATAAGATCTGAGCTCAGGTCTTCACGGGTAATAGACCCTCAATGCACCAGTTTTGCAGATGGGCAGGAGGCAGAGTATGGGACCAGCTGATGGTTGGAAGGGGCGATGCTGTATCCAGATCAGTAGGTCCACCTTGGACGTACATAGTTCTTCTTCCAGGTGACCATTACAGATGTTGCCAAATAACACTTAGACTGGGGCAGTGATGGTCCTGTGGTGTTGCGCATGTGTTCTTCGGCCCTGAGGAGGCTCCTCAGCCTCCTGCCTCTGCTCGTGGACTATCATGGTCCTGTGGAGCAAAGCTGTGGATATCTGCACCCTTGGTTTGAGTCATTCAGTTTACATTTAAGCCATCTGTATGTAATGAATTGGTGGCTTCTCTGGTTGTTTTGATAAGAGAAGAATTTGGGGAAGACTTTCTGAGTCTGGCATCTAACACCCATTCTTCTTGTTTTGCACAGGATAAAACATTTTCTTGCAGAATTAAATAAGGACCAGGTGGAGAACAAGCCCCTCTTACAGCAGAGCAATCTGAAATGATGGAATCGTCTTCCCTTCTCCTCCAAAAATAGACAAAATAGGCTTTTAAAAAATATAAATAAAACCTACCAGACTGTTACTCAGTGAGCCTAATACGACCCCACTGACTACCTGCTGTTCTGTTGAAGCATTTGAAAATGAAATGCTGTCACGTATCCAGCCTGATTTTACTTACTGATTAAGCGAGTTACTTAGAAATTTCTAACAAGCTTGAGTGCTCTCTAGGACCTGCGAGAAAAAACTTTATCTTTGTGTCTACAAGACAGGGGATTAACTGGTGGCAAAAAATAAACTTTTAGATCTGTCCTGTCCTCTTGGTGGTCTGGGGTGAGAGATGGCTGGCTGCTGTTTTGTTTTGCTTTTCTCCTGGCTCAGTTGCCTTCTCTGGGAGGGGCCAGCAGGAGTTTGGATTCCAGCTTTTTGACCTGTTTGCATGCCTAGAGTTTTCCTCAGGGATGAATCGCCGGTGTTCCTGCAAAAAATAGCCTTATGGTCATGCAGACCTTGATCTATGAACACTTGCAAACTAATGAGATTATGGGATTTTTTAATGCTTCCCATTTTTTCAGACAAATGAAATTTGGGAGGCAGTGGTTACTAAGGAGAAAACAGTGTCATTCATCTGTGCAGTCAGTTGTGTCTGGATCCAACCACCCACTTAAAACCCGGCCAGCTAACCATTCAAACTGCAAAGCGTCCCTTGTTTTATGACACCATTTCAGCCCAAGCTCCAGGATGACCTGGAAAGGGAGTTCCTAAGCAGAGTTTGGTGACTTTAGGGAGCTCAAACTCTTATTTAGCAAGGAATCCACCCACGTGCGAAGCTTAAAAATGAGATGTTCCCGCCTAACTTAGTCACCCCACCCCGGTGACCTTTTTACAGTCCATGCTGAGATGCTTGAGGTATTTGTTCCCATGAAGGATAAAGTAGGGTTAAGCTTCTATGTCTAACTTCCCGACATCTCAACACGAGGAGAATGAATCTCACCTATTGTTTGTAGCAATCAGGGTAGAGGTCCGGGATATCTTAGAGTATGCCACCAGCAGATAGCCTCAGTTCAGCCCTTCCTGGAAACAGTGCAAAGACTCTCGTTACGTCTCCGTTAGCAAATAAATTAGGTCTAGCCCCATAGCCAAGTGGTTACTGCATAACCTATACATAGCTAATTTCTCCTTACCTTCCAAAACAGCATGACTATGTGCAAGCTACCCGTTTCAAATGGTCCCTGGACCATACCCGAGAATTGTCTCGGAGAGGCACTAGTTGGCACACATCAAAACTGTGCCAAAGTCTCTGCCACCAATTTAGCAATGTAAATCTTTGCAGCATAATGCCGTATCATTGTTTGCTTACTATTGTGAATGTAGCCTTTGAACGTGTGCTACAGCCAGGCTAAGGATAAGTGTGGACAGATGATATTCAGTCTCTTGAGTTTGCCGTTTTGCTTCACACAGTTAAAAGAACCTCAGAGTTTTGTATTTTTATCACCATTAGTAATATCAGCTGATTCTGCCCAGAGTATTTTCACCACCTGGCCTTTTTCCAGAGCAGTCTCATATGATACGCTATTAGCTGGCTGTGTTCACTTCCTCTGATACATTTCTTTTGGGAGGTAAGGCTGGGAAGGAGGAAGCTACCGGGGTTTGCTCACATGGGTTCGCTGCCTTTTTTTTTTTTTTTTTTTTTAGGGCTTTTGGGAGGTAAGGCTGGGAAGGAGGAAGCTACCGGGGTTTGCTCACATGGGTTCGCTGCCTTTTTTTTTTTTTTTTTTTAAGTGCTGCCCACTTCCACTTTAGGCAAGCTTTCCTAGTTGACGCAGCAGTTGTGACATATAACCAGCAGTGCAGTGTCCTACTCGGAAAGGAGTAACACCAGACCTCTGTGCCTCTGGAGGGTCGGATGTTTGGGCATGGCTGGCACAGCTCTGCAGCTCCGTACAATAGCTTTTAATGCCAAAAGGTGCAGACTGAGGCAACTGGGCAGAAAATTGGTGAGAGATACGGGAAAAGATGCTCTGCTTCATCCTTTGCTGCCTTGTACATCAGATTTTCTTCTGGGAGAACAAATCTGGCACTAAGCAGGATTCACACACATCAAGAAGTTTAGGGCCTTTCCAGTCGTGTAGAAGAGGTACTGTGGCCCACCTGAGAAGATCTTCAGTTGGGGCATCAGGAAAATGGGCTGTAGCCTCAGCAGTCTTCTGAGACACCAGCTCATGTTGAGCTGTCGGCTTTCTATTTCCTCTTCTAACATTTTTCAAATGCTTTTTGGGGACAGCAATTACACCTGTGTGTGCTGTTAAGAGCAGGAAAGGCTGATGGTTTGCAATGAGCACTGAAGCTTTGGTAGATGGATACTTTTGCAAGGGAGTTTATGTGTGCCTTCTGTGTTGTATCCAGGACATGTGCACGGCTGAAGCAACTGCATCTCTGCTCCAAGTGGAAGAAACCTTCTTGGCATGCCTGGCACGGATAGATGCCCTCATCCTCAAGCCTCTGCTCCAGGCAGGTAGGTCAGAGCAGACTACTTTTTGTCTCTGGTTCTAGCCTTGAGTCAAAGGCACACCTATGAAGGGAATTATAATTGAAATTTCATGGCTGAGGACTTTTCTGGGGGCTGGTTTGCTGGAGTAAGTGGTACACAGAGTTGTTTCATTTAAGATAGGGAGCTTTTAAGGGTGTCTGTGGCCTTTCATTCAAGCCTAGGACTGTGGTTCCTGTTGTTTTTAGAGGTTAATCCAGATTCTAACCAGTGTCAGCCTGTACACCCGCTCCAAGGCTTGTTTCCAGCATGGTGCGTGGAAATCCAAAATGTATCTTGCGTATATGTGACCCCTAAACTGTGCCCATTCTGCCTCCCTGCCCTCGGTCCATGCTCATGCCCGTCTTTGAAGCTAAAACTTGTGGGTGCAGGTTCTGAGCTGGCAGTTAATCAGAGCAGCTCCACTGAAACAACAAACCCATATAAATATTCACAAGCCTGTCTGGCCAAAAGTGGTGCGACTGGCTTAGACCCGTAGGGTGGTTCCCTCTCATGTCATCACCTTTTTGGTCTAGCCTGCAAGGAGACCGGGAAGAGCCCTTTCAGCCAGGGGCAGAAAATTCTCCTCCGGTGCTCGTGTCTGAGCTGGGGCTGAGCCTCGCAGGCTGCCCTGACCACATGCCCCACAAGAATGGGCAGGACAAAGCCTTAGCGTGGAAAGCCGGTGCAATTACTCACAGGGATACAACCCTAAATAATCATCATCTCCTTCCTCCCTGGCGTTGTTTGCCTATAAGAATATATGTGCTTTAACACTGAAAAGTTGGGTTGAGTATTAAATATAGGCAGTGTTTTCCACAAGATTTCTTGGAGTCGAGGCTTTCTGATAGCCTTTCCCCTCCCTATCTTTTCCTGAAAGACCCTAGTGACCAGAAAGGAAAGGAGAACTTTAAGCTCCTCCTCCTCCTGAATGATCGATTTCAAGCTCTCTGGAACCTCACAGAAGAAAATTACCGGATACTGAAACAAAAACGCAGCACCTCTGAGTCATTCTGCATCCAGGACATTTATGCTGTCTGGAAAGGAGACCTGTTTCTAAGCCTCTACATCCAGTAAGTACAGAAACATTTTTGGAGTAGCGCAAAGGACCAAATTTATCAACTAGCTGGCGGGTTGGTGCAATTAATTTGTGCATTTCATTTGTTCAGTCCTGCCTACTGGTGTTCGGTCATTAGGTCAGGGAAGTGATTGTGGTCAGTGCTCAGGACAAATGCTACAGAATATAGCGTCTGTGCAGACAGCATAATAAGTAGCCTTTTTTGTAGCTGTGAGCATGCTTGTAAAAGGCAGAATTTTTTCTTGCAAGTATAGGCGTTTTTTAATGCATCTTAAAAATGGGAAGAGGATGGGGGGTAGAATTTGTGCCTGGATAAATTATGAGAGGGAAGCTTGAGCTGTCGTCAGGAACAGAAAGGCGTGCACAAGCAGGTTTAAAGGACTCACAGGGATGAGGAGAGGAAGTTGTCACCAGACACAGTTCATGTTACGTGTTTCTGCCACACTTCTACGCTTTTGGCAAGGGATACGATAGCAAGGGATGGATGTAGCGTGATGTGAAAAACATATTGCCCTATTGCTGTTTCTATAATTAATTACATCTGCTGCCCATCTGTCTGCAACGCAAAATAAAATGTTTACCAAAGTCACCGTAGCACGTATAACCTTGTGTTGATGTCCTAGCATGAAAAATGGTTTATGGACACCTGCGATGACATAAAGATCAGACGGTGTTCAATCCTTCATTCATCACATTGGCCACAAATGTGGCCAAGCCCTTGCCAGAAGGGCTTGTACCGTCTGTGCAGTTCAGCACCCACACAGGAACGGGAGATGGGCACGCTGGCTCCTGGACAGTGCTGTTCATCTAGTCTTGGTTTTGGTGGTTTTTATGCACGTGGAAGGAGGAGGATGAAAGGAGTACTTTTTGTTTTGTTTTTATTTGGATAGCATCATTTAGAAACTCAAAATGACAAAACAACAAGCTTTGCCTTTATGTGAATGGGGTTTGGAGCAGCGTGTGTTGTTCATTTGGGAACTAATTCAGTGAATTAAAACTGGTTTGCCTTAAAAAGGCATATAAAAGATGAAAACTTGTGCTGAGGTTTCAGATGACACAAAGGAGAAGTTTATCTTAAGATCTAATTTCCCCTGATTTTGAAATTAAAACCTGTTTTTGCTGGGTGTCATGCAAAAAAAAAGAGCTGCTTCCTACCCACCTCTGCTGACTCACTCTGTGCAGTCTGGATCCTACAACGGCTCATGCTTATTCGAGTGATAGAGGGCGAAGCAAAGCCGCTGTTCAGGGGCCTGAAAATCAGCAGTAAAAGCATGACCCTGAAAGATGTAATAAATGGTAATTAGTCTGGACGTTATACACGACATATCTGAAAACACTAGTGGAAGAAAGCGTGGTATTTGCTGACAAAATATGGCTCGGTCTCCCTCTAGTGTGAGAGGAGATACATTGGCACGGGACGCCTTGACTTGAATTTACCATCAATAATACAGGCCTGATACTTTTACTTCAACCAGCAGAAATTTTTACATCTGAAGCGGATATCTTAAGCTCAAGCCTCTGTAGATTTGCTTTCCAGGGCAGTTGCACAAGTTTACTTCTGCTTATGCTGAATGCCAGGATGATTTATGCTTCCTGTAACGACACTAGTGCAAAAGTCGACGAGGCAGTTAAACCAAAGAGCTGGCAGAGGGGGCAAAAGGGCAGTGAGCCAAGGTGAGAGGTACAGTAGCTACATCTCTCTCTGCCTCCCTTGGAAAGGTGGACCTGACCTGACAGTTTCAAAAGGAGCTTCTTCCCTCTATCACTTCAACCTTGTAGCTAATGTGCATCTCTAATTCAGCTCGTGCTTATGTGTGTTTGTTTTTTTTTCTTGCCAACAGATATTTCGTCACTTTTGCAAACTACGTTGTAGTCCACGGCTTTGAACATGCCACAAAGAGCAAAAGGTCAGTGGCCCGACAAATGCTTATTGAAGGGGCTGACAGGGGCACAGTGATATTGTATGGGTTAAGACACTAAACCAGAGCAGGCAGCACTGGGCACTGCACCTCGCAGTGATCTCCGTTTCACGGTCCAGCTGCCTCTCCTCTGAACCGGCCCTACTGGCTGCTCCTACCATCTCCTGAGACCACGGCAGCAGCTGCTGAAAGGCTTCCTCTACAGATCTCTCTCCGTCTCTTTCTAGCCATGCACAACTCCTTTTGTAGGAGAGGAAGCCTGTAAGTTTGGAATTTGGGGGTTCAGGTAAGTGGTGGGACCTGAGTAAGGATGTTGTGGGAATCTGGCAGGAAATTTCCACTGCTGGTCCCCGATGTTGTCAGTCTCAAAGCGCTAGCTGTGAGCAGATTCACAGCCACTTTATCTGAGTCACCCTCTTGGTGTGCAAACCATCATGAAAGTCATGCTACGTTCTCTGTATCTGTGGGTGTGGTTCCTATTTGCAAAGACCGCTGGGCCAGAGGCAGGATGAAAGGAGTTTTTTGCCTCCTTGTCTTATTTCTGTGTGTTTGGTGTGCAAATATATTTGCACTATGTTATCTCCTGCTCTTTCAAGTCTTTCTATACCCTCTCTGGGAGTGAGGTAGCATATAAAGTTTGGAAGGCAGAAGAGTGGCAATGTGCAGAAAAACTAATTAATCAACCTTTGTCTTAATTCACCACCTTGCAGTGAAGCCTGGAAGCACCATAAGACAGTGCTGAAACAATTCCTCACAGGCTTCACCTCCGAGACCTCCATGTCACTGGCCTTATACACTGTTCTTCACAAACCTCTCCGGGATCACATCGACCAATATATACTGCTCCTTACCAAGATGAATGAGGTTCTCAAAGAGGTAGGAAGTTTTATGTGGTGTTACTTGACTGGCTTATGATAAAATCTTACGCGGGGCTTGTGGGGCTTTGTGGTCGTGTCATTGAATCCAAAGTTGGCTGGAAGTAAATGATTTCCAGCGGACAGCTGGGGTGGTAGTAACCAGCACCAGTGGAGTGCAGCCCACCTGAAGGTCTCAAAGCAATGAACAGTGGCCACTCCAGCATAGTACAAGCTACTCATCATACAGAGGAGCTGCAAAGGGTCAAGTAACTGGCCTAAAGTTGTATGCTTCTGCTGGTGGCAGAGATAATGCTAGATTTGGGAGGCTTTCCTTGGAAGTGGGGTTGGAGGGTTAACTCTCATTAGCCCTTTGGATTCAGAACTGCTGAGGCTTTTCTGCAGCTGTAGCCCAGAGAGTAGATGTCCTGCACAGCTGTGTCTAAAGCATTGCTGAAGCCCTGCCTTCTTTTATCAGGGCTCTGAAAAGGACGTGGTTACCAGCGCCATCAAGGAATACGTGAAGCTGGAGTCTTTCATCCGCCAAGTCCTGGATGAAGCTTGTTTTACCAAGTCCTTATGGGAATCCTTGGGCTGCAAATTCACAGTGAGTCACGGATGTAGAAAGTGGCTTGATGGGGAGCTCTTTTGGAGGTCTTACACTTCTGCTTACACATGGAGGACATTTAATACGGATCAAGCATTTGAGGCTTGGTTTGGAAGCAGACGGACCAGGGCAGTGTGGAAGCCTTGGAGAAACCATATGGATGCTGGGTGCTTTAGAAGTTGAGCCCTGTGTCCAGTTCTGCTGTCACTGTCAGCTTGTGCCACGAGTCAGACAGTCTCTGGAGGAGCTGTTGGCTTGAGTTGTATGTCCTCTCCCAAATCCTGATGTTTCCTGATCCGCCATCTTGACCTCTGTGGTTCCCTCTGCAGGACATGCTCTGTGTACCTGAAAGGAGGCTGCTGGAAGATAGCAAAAATCTTCACATCTCTGCCAGCACGAATCGATCGGACCGGATCTTGCTCTTCGATGATGTCCTTGTGCTAATTCAGGTGAGCCTTCAATCTTTCAGAGGGATTGGAAGGGCAGCGCAGATAAATGGCAGTAGAATTCAGGTTCTTTTGCTGTTGAACATGCAGCAGAGCTTGGCTGTTGGCAAAACCTTGTCTCGGATCCATGCACCTGTGGTTTGCACTGGAGAATAAAAGAAAGCCTAACGAAGAAGGAATAGAGGAGCATCCACATAACTTTTTCCCCAGTAAATATGTACTACCCAACCACCACAGGCACCTTTCTAGTAACCCAAGCCCATGCCTGCATATGAATCTGTTGATTTGTGTCCTTGCTTATTCAAAGGGGGCCTGATGGGTCAAAGCTATCATACTGTAAACACTCATGCATAGGACTAAATATGATCTTTCATGGTTGACTCTGCTAGTGGCATGGGAGCAGAAGTTGCAGGTGTTCTTGGGCCTATTTCAGGTATTTAGGGCCTGGGTGTGGGGCAGGTAGGGCGTGTCTACAGCCATGGATAGCTAGATGAATAGTATGTGTTCAAAGCTGTTCTGCAGCATGTTAACTAAGTCCAGCTTGGCTTGCTCTGACTGACAGCTCCTGTAATCTAGCATGGCTCTCTGCATGTGCACATCCCTCTGCTTGCTCTTTAGTCATGTGCCAGCCCCTCAGGTGTCGAAACACATGACTGCCTTGTGAGCTGATAGACCTTACGGTCTCTTCCAAACATGAGCCTTTATGATAACGCTGAGCAGTCCTACGCAGCTTGCAGGGTCTAGGCCTGAGGAAATAGGGTGGTGATTATCTCATCCAACTTTACATTGTAGATTTCTTAGCACCATAGTGATCTCGCTGTGAACAAGTGCCCCCAGGCTCCCTTTATAGTCAGGGGAGAGAAACATGCACTGTCTGGGTGTGGTTCGTCTGACCTATTTTAGATGCCAAAATCAGGATGAGTTGAATCATGTCCTTGACTCCATCGACGAGGATGAGAGCACAGGGTAACCAGCTCACACGGAGATACCTACATTGCAGACATCTCTGTTCGGTCAACGGTTCCCACCCACTATGTCTCATCTGCTGCTGTGACCGTTACTGAGGCTTGTGGAGATACGACTGGACTGGGATTGAACTGGTTAGCTTGGGCTGCTAGCAGGGGACTGTCGATGAGGGCTCTGGCACTGGGAATCTGAATCGCCCTCCCTTCCCTGTTTCCCCAAATCTGGTAGATACATCAGTGATTAACTTGTGGTGAACTCCATAGTGCTAGTACCTAACCTCGGTCAACTACATCCTTACAGACAGCAGCTCTGTAGCGTGGGCACCTGGACTTTAGACAGGGAAAGGAGATGTAATATTATATGTAGTCTTTACCTAATATTTCAACCATTTTAGTTTCTTCTGTTTGGTGTGCTATTGATCAAAATGGTGACTCCTCAAATGCTGTACTTGTGGGCCACTATCGGCTGTGCTACCTGGAGGCCAAATCCTAGATAAATCATAAGCAAAACTAGGGCATGCTGGGTGCCAGGGATGACTTGGGAGTGTTGTCATGTGATAGGGAAGCAACTCTTGTAGAGATAAGTGCCGTCTAAGAATGTTTGTTACTATTAGTTGTAGCCATGGCATTATGGAACACCACTTACAAGTGTTAAGCTAAGAACTTTCTTCCTTCTCCTACTTTTCTTCAGTCTCCGAGGTCTGTTATTGTAGCGTGGGACAGACGTGTGGACCACAAAAGAGGGAATTTACAGTGCTGCCAGTCTTGCTCTGCTGTTCAATGGATTGACAGAGTGGGGACAAAGTGTGACGTTTACATGAATAACAGGAACATCTTGTCCCTTTTGTTGCAGGGAAACAGCTTTCAGAGTTTTGATCTGAAGCTTGTGTGGGTAGATGAAAACTGCAGCGAGAAATCGGCTCCAGGACTGTAAGTAAAAAACTTCCACTTGGAGGGGGGGAAAAAAAAAGTGTTTAACTTGATTGTGGAACTGAGACATTTTAAAACTTTGTCTCATCTCCTTTCCACCCGGTGGGACAGGTTCTGGGCTATGGGTAATTGTAACACCTCTTCGATAGGATCACAGCAGCTTGGACTTGCATTGCTTGTGTCTGCTGACATCTTGAAATCAATCAATAATAAAATGATTCTGGCTGCAGACCAGGAGAACAAAGATGAGTTGACTAGTTGAGTATTACTTCAGAAGGAAAAACGGACTGCAAAAGCACCATTATCTTCTGAAGAGGAATGGGAAGAGCAGGAACTGCTGTTTCACTGAGAAATGTGTTTTTCATAGTCTCTGTAATGTCTTTTGCTCCACAGGTATGGACTCCGCATTATAACCCCAGAAGAAACGTTCTTTCTCTCTGCCAAAGACCTGCAGATAAAGGTTAGCAGTGGGCAGGGCTTTTCTGTTCCACCTGAAATACCACGTACAGAGCCTTGAAAGAGGGGAATGGCATAGAGGGGATGGCAGCTCTGTAATGGGGGCAAAACATTGACCACTGAGTGGAAGTTGAAATCTCATTGAGCATCAGGATTTTATCTTTCTGATCAGAATACAGACAAGTGGCATTTGCACCTGCTTAAATAATGCAGCTGAGGCATTTCCTCTGCAATGTTTTATTATTATTATTTCTTAAAGCAGCAGTGTGGCCTTTTTTTCCCCCCTCTGTGGAGCCAATACTTCATTAGATGGCCAGAGGTGGCTTAGACAGTTGATGGTAGATGAAAAATATCCAGGTGCTGGAATTGGTCTGCCCTGGGCAGTAGCGTATGCTGCAGGGCTTGTGACGCCACAGTCCCATATCAGCATGGTCCTGTGCCAAGGACAGTTAGTGGTGGTGAGAGTCAGGCTTAAATGACATGGAAGTGTTGTGGATTGGTGCAGTATCCAACTCGCGGGACCTCCTGTTGATGCTGTAGATAGGCCATAACTCACCAGCCCAGCCAGCTGAATGGCACAGAATTGGTGGGAATCCAACAGCTTCTTGCTGCTTCTCCTGAAGTATCTCTTGTCGGGAGCTATTTTGCTTTCTTCACTCCTCTTCCTCTGCCCCCAGGCTGTTTGGCAGTGGAAGCTGAACCAGGCTGTCCGCCAGGCACTGAACGGGAAGCGAGATTTCCCATTGTGGGGCCAGACTGGTGAAGGCAGCGAGCCCCCATCCTGCCGCTTCTTCACCTACGTCTTCAGGCTGGAGGGCAAGTTCAAGAGCGCATCCTACGAGGGCGAGTGGCACGGGGGAAAGCCACATGGCAAGTAAGGAGCCTTTTTTGCCCCTTTCCTAAGCAAGAACGTGCAAGGGTGGCCCTGCTGTCTTTGTGTAGCGCTGTCTTTGTGTAGCACTGCCTGGATCCCGTGGATGCACAGGTGGAGGTATAGATGCCAGAGACTCAGGGGGCAGCTGGGACACATTTGCTTCCTTTCAGGGCTTGGTCAAAGCATGAGTCCCGACACGTGACCTGTTGTATTGTAGATGTCTCGCTAGTGATACGGGTTTATGCAGTAAATTGTAGAGGCTGACCCTAGTAATGTGGTAATGACCACATTGAAGGCTCTGCCTTGGCTTATGCCTGTAATTAGGACTTAGACTTGAGCTAATGTTTATTTTCAAGATCTCAGCCTGAGGCATAAAATCTTACCGTCGTGACAAAAAAACAACAAAAAGCCTTCGCTTGTGAGTGAAGGAAAAGTTTTATCCTGTGCTATCAAAATAGATTTTAATATCCAAACTATTATCAAAGGAATTAAAAAAAAAAAGAGAGAGAGAGAAGTCAATAAATACAAAAGATGCTCAAATGCATTTCTTGGGAACATGAAAACTGTTCACTAAATGCAACTGAAGTTTAAGAGTGAGCTTTGCCAAAAGGGAATGGTCTGCAAATCAAAGGTTAAACGGTCCCAACCAAAATCTCTTTGACATAGGATAGAGCACAGTCTCTGTTTTTGTGAAGAAACAGGAAATATGACCAACCTCCTCAGAGACTGAAACAGGCTGATTTGGAAGTTTTACACTTTCTGAGTTTTACACAGTTTGTTTACAGTTCCTATTGAAGCAAAATGGATGTAGAGACTTGGTTTGAAAGAAGTTTAAAATAATCTGAATATCCAAAATCAAAAGCTTAATCCTGAATCTTCTGTGGAAGAGATTGTGCCTTGCCTCATAATAGTATTAAATAGGTGTTTGGAGCAGAGCTATGCCTGACCAATCCTTTACATCATCCCCACCTTCCCCAGCACCTGCACCTCCTAACAGAGATTTGAAAACCACGGTGTGCAGACACCTCTCCTTGCTCTCTGTCTCCTCCTATCTTAGGGTTGGAGAAATGAGATGAATACATACCTCTGCTGCTTCAGATTAAGTGACTTGACTGAGGCATCCCTGGAAATTTGTGGCAGAAATAAGTGACTTCAGGTGCTTCTAACGTCTGGGCTTTTAATTGCTTAATTATTAAGCTGTCCTTCCCACTCCTAAAATTGCTCTTCTGTGGGAATTGCTACTAATACAAGGTTACAGAGCAGTAAAGCTGGCCTTGATGGCTTGTCCACCTCTGAGAGGGACGCTGGCATGACAAAGCACATGAGCAGAAAGCTGCAGCAGTGTGAATCGGGGATCTTCAGCAAAAACATCTGCATTCTTCACTGTTCTGTCCCAGTACTCCTGATAACCTGGTGTGGTGGAAGGAGATACTCCCACTGAGAAGCAGCTTAAACCATCCCCATGGCTGGAGAAGGCATTCTCTGTGGTTTGCTCTCCTTTGCCAGCATTCATACTAGCAAAGCAAAAGGATATGTATTTTAAATCCACTTAAAATTAATCTGACCACTTCACTGTCAATACCAGAAAAAGCACCTGTCTCATGTAGGTGTTTAAAGCAACAACCTCGGTGAAAGTCAAACAAATGCATCATGGTTTTGGTACTGCACCATCTTCTATTGCCTTTGGTTGGGGAATGTGTAGAGAGCTGGCTGTGTCTGTGATGATGCAAGAGTCAAAACAGTGAGTGGGTGTGGGTGGAGTGGGAGACGGGGAGGAAGGGAAACGCATTCACAACCGGGCATGGCCGTGCAATACTTTGACCATCACATTGACCGTTCCAGTCTCACTGTTGCATTGTTAGCTCATGTGTAATCATTTCTACAACCCCCACACAAAACAGAGGGAAAGATATGATCCCTTTAGGCCAGTGCTTGTCTCTTGTTTTCATAGTGCCTGGCACAATGAAGTTCTGGACCGTGGTGTCATTATGCTGTCTACAGGGTTGTGCCATGCTGGAACTTCAGCTGGCTTAATCACATGCTGCACTGCAATTACAAAAGGATCATGTGCAAGGTCCTAAATGGATGACCCAGCAACTCAACAAAATGCTTTTGAGATTAGGGAACTTGGAAGAAGATTCTTTCTGCTCATTCCAGGGCATGAAAACTTTATGGTATTAAATCCTTACAGTGTAAGCTGAGGTGCCAGATGTGCCTAGAGAACTTCTATGTCTCTGTTCCCTGAGGAAATCTTTTGATGTTAGCCATTTCTAGTTGTGCCTTGATACCTTCTGTTGCAGCTGTGAATGTTGCTCATGATCTCCCTTGTGTAATGCTTGCTTTAAATTGCAGGGGGACACTGAAGTGGCGCGATGGACGCAACCATGTTGGAGATTTCAAAGAGGGCTTGGAGCATGGGTAAGCCTTAAAAACCAGGACGTTTCTTGCTTTCAAAATAAGCTAAGGAATGGTACCCCCGAGAGGTACAGGGACACTGGTGTCTTGTTAGGGGGACTCTATTCACAGTTACAGCCCAATTCATCTGACCCTTTTTAGACACCTGGCTCAAGCTTGAGTAGGTTGTAACCTGGAGTGTGCGCGGATGACCTGTTCAGATGCAAACATCTCCATTCAGCTGGATGAATCTGACCCCTGATCTCTAAATCTAGGTGAATGTATTCATATGAAATACCTTGGAAAAGCTATTTTCAGATATCTTTTAAAAACCTCTCTTAAATGAGAAGTTTTCAGGGGAAAGAAACCATACTATAAAATTCAAACATTATTGTTCTAAAACTTTTTGAAAGTAAGACTTCTAGATTTCTCATTTCTACATGAGTTCCAGAATAGGTTAGATTTTTAAAGAGAAAAAATGTCTCAAGTACTTTGTGTTGGGGTTAAGAAAACTTTTTGTTTGGACCAAAGCAATTGCTTTGGTAGTCTAACTCAGCCCTTAAACTGGGGAAGGGGTAAGGAGGGGAGAAAAACAACACTGACAGTAGCTCTGTAGAAGCAGCAATGAGAAACTGTGACTGCAGCTCACAAGGAGATGAGCTCTTTCTTGGATCAAGTCCGTTGACATCTAGAGGCAATGTCAGAGGTAGAGGCGATCCCAACCACGTAAATCAGTTAGGGAATCTGGAAGGTCCTTAGTTTTTAAACTTCATCCAGTACAACAAAGTCACCTTTTCCCGTGCTGACCTCTGCCATATGCACCCTGTAGGTTTGGAATATGCCTCGTCCCACGCCGATCTCAAGACCGGTATGACTGCTATAAGTGCCACTGGTACGAGGGCAAGATGAGAGGCTATGGAATCTGTGAGTAAGTAAAACCCAAAGATGGACTCTGGGGGGGAAAAAGGGGACTCCACGTGTTTAAAGGGTGAAATGTTCTCACCTTGCTGTGGAAGGCTCAGTCACAGTGTAAAACCCAGGATAATTCAGGCACCAGAAGCTTTTTCTTTGGAGATGGGCGGTATGGCTTCTTCACAAGCCCTGAGTCTCCTGAGCATTAGAATAGTAAGAGCTTCTCTACAAGCTGTGACCGTTGTAACTACCTGACATAGCATTCTCTGTGCCCTATAGGTGAGGATGTACTTTTGCATTCATGCTTGTGGTTGCAGAGTGGAGAGCGCATGGTGTGCCATCAGCCCTGGACAGACTTGATGGAGCACACAGCTCTCTGTCTCCTCTGGCCATGCTATCTGGACTAAATCTTGTATAGAGTAGTTCTTTACTGATGGATGGGACTGTTCGTCTGGGAGTCATAACTGTTATCCTGAACTGCTGAAGGGGGCTGGTTCCTCCAGCTGGCTATTTTGCTTACTCAAATTCTGAGCTTAAACCCAGAGCTTAACCTAAGAAATGGAGTCCGAGGTTTTCTTTTTTTACTCATCAAAATGCTTCTGGAAACAGTCATTTGCACACCTGCGTCTCAAAGCGCTGCTGGGAATTTGGATGGAGCCCAGTCTGTAAAGCACTGTATTGTGGGCACGTGGTGGTGTCCCTGCCTTACCCACCGTCTACCTTCCATTTAGAAGGCCAGAAATGGCAGCGGAGGCCTGCTCAGCGGGTTGTAGGTATAAACCGGTTTCATTTGCAGCCTACGGGGTACAAGTGGACAGGGCCAGCTTGCTCTGTTTATGTAGCAGCGAGCGTAAGAGCATCCTCATCTTTGCTTAGGTCACACGTGGCTTTGTAGCCAAATGGGTTGGCCAATGTGAGGACTGGACTGGCCGTTATTACTGCACATACTTACCGAGCCAACTGTGGCAGGGGAAAGCACGCAGCCCAGCTTTCCAGCTGCTTACTATGGGATAGGCCATCTTCCTTCCTACAACCTGCTTGTTGTGCTCCTTATTTATGGATCAAACTCAGAGTACAGGATATGCAGAAATCTCTAGGGAACTTGGAGCCAACTGAGCAGTGCTGGGCTAGTGTCTCTGGTGTTAAATGTGAGAGCATGTTGATAATTATAGATGATAGCTCTGCTTAGCGTAAGTGCTTTCTCCCTTGTAGCAGTGAACATCTGCTGGCCAGGATGGGCAGAGCTAAGGGGAACTCTTCTCAGGGGGATGAGCCCAGGAGAAGGGGTGGTTGGCGAGCGTAGAAAGGTGAAGGCAGATTTGGCTTCCTGCTTGATCTGATCTACTCCCACTCTGGATTAACCAGCGGTCACTGGGACCTGGCTGGTGAGAGGTCAAGGACTGAGTGGCCTCTCCCAGGACAATTGCAAGCCTAAGTGTTGTGTCCTTAGATAACGTTGAAAGCTAACTGTGGAGCGACTAGCTTGGGTGATGCATATTCCTAATAGTGAACCACTACAGGCTCTAGATCTATCAGTCAAACATTTGGAATATTTAGCAGGCAGATGAGCCTAATCTACTCACTTTCCTGGCTTCCTACTCCAATAGTAGCTACCAAAGAGTCACAGTCTCAAATGCTATCTGTCTCTCTCCCTGCAGGTATGGGAACGATATGGTCTACAAAGGTTACTTTAAAGAAAATGTGCGTCAAGGGTTTGGGATACTGGAGAACCTCTCAGCTGAGAATCCATTTAAATACACAGGACAGTGGGAAAATGACAAGAAGAATGGATATGGAGTCTGGGAAGACAAAGATAGGTAAAGGTGGTATAGATCAGAGCTGGCTTTAGGTGCCTGACAATTTTGTCCCTCTATTGGCAGGGGTAAAGCTTCATGTTTTGATGGGGGGACTTGGGGATGAAGGGGGGGATGTGTTCAACCTCTGCTATAAGGCTTGAACCCCTGGGGAAATGTTATATGAATCGAGTTTGTGCAGAACATCTGGCACTTGTGCTGCATAGAGCATTAAAACTAGCCTCAGTAAGTGATACATCAAGTTGATTAAGATTTAATAAAATGGGGAAAAAACATAATTTGTTTTCTGTTGCATTCCAGAGGGGAGAGATACATAGGGACATGGCTCAATGATCACAAACATGGACAAGGCATTGTAGTAACCCAGTCGGGCGTCTGCTATCAAAGAACGTTTCATGCTGATAAAATGGTGGTGAGTATCCATCTTCAGTGGACTCTCTAGGTCAGTGGGACATGGAATTCTGCATCAAGGGCAAGATTAAGATTTCACTTCATAAATAATCTTTGAGGGATAATAGAAAGCAAGAAAACTTAAGCATTGACGTTTTACCACAATAATGTGTTTGAAGAACAGGGCCTAGATGAAGTCTTGTTTCTTATCACCTTCCTGAGGTGCAGGCAGGAACTAGATGTGAGACTGTCACTTCTCCTTGCTTATGCTAAGACACGTTATAGGTCTGGCTGACTATCAGGTCACACCAGAACTCATATGTGAAGTGCTGTGCAGTTATATATGATACTACATCTATCTTCGAGATCATTAAGTCTTTACCTTTCCAATGTGAGCTTACCTATCACAAGTTGGCTGTCCAGTTCATTGAAAGTTTAGATGTCGGTGGGGAAAGCGAAAGGGATTGGCATCGCTAGAACTAGCTTGGAAATAAAAGCATTTCTTCTCATGAAAAATACGCACTTAAAAAAACAAACAGCCCCTTCCCCACTCACCAAATTAGGACAAAATGTTTAGCATGGAAACTTTGTCGGAAGGGCTTTCCACAAAATCTCCCTCTGTGGGGAGCCAAAATAAAGCTGTCTTTTGGTCTGCCAGCTGCCAGAGGTTCCTCTAACTTCACAAGGCTTCCGGGTGGGCAGCAGTCACTTCAGTTTTTCTAGTGGAAAATTGGTATGGCCAAGAAGCTTCCCTTGGAAACCTTTTATTTTTTTCCAGAAAGGGCACTTTCCATCAGGAAAACCATTCCAGAGGAAAATGTGTTACAGCTCTAAAAGTGACCACATTTTCTGGCTGGTATGGGTACATATAAACCTTCGGGCCCAAACTATGGGCTAAGCCCCAACAAGAAGAATCTTCCCCCATTGGTATAAATTATCCTGTGTCTGTTCTGCATCTTGGTGCTCCTTCTTAAAGGTCTTTTCCAACCTAAATGATTCTATGGTTCTATGAAATGTGTGCTACTGTAAGCAGCTGTGGGAGTTGGGAGGTAATGGAACGAGTCATTTTACGAATGCTTAGGAGCAGCTCATTAAAGCCCCGTTGACTGCACAGCAAGGGACAAAGCTAATTCTACATAGCAGCTGCCTTCCTCTTTTCTCTTAATCGTCTTGCAAAGAATGACACAATTGGCTACAATCACCTAAAGGTCGTAGGATTGGGAGGACCTCGAGTTCGACCCATGTGGCAATTCTTGGTGACTGTTCTTAGAACAGGAGCCTGCCTTTTGTTCCTTCTTCTAGGGAAATGAATGTAATAGTAGTAGTGTTTAAAATCTCCTGACCACCCAGTACTTCACCTTGGTGCAGTGATGCCTTATGGGTTATCTCTAGAGCACCTCCTTGCTTTTCTCTTGAGCATTGCAATGCTCTGTTGGGCTTTCAAAAAGGTTCTTGGAATCGGCAGCCCATAAATATTCCAAGCCAGTGGCTGTTTCTAGATGAACTTGAGTATGTAGGAAGTTAATGTCATGAATTCACTACTTCTACTTTCAAATGAAGGGTTCTGGGATTCTGCTCTTGGAAGATGACTCTGTCTACGAAGGGAACTTCACGGAAGATCTAACGTTTGTTGGAAAGGTGAGCACTTCCTTCATCGCAGCCTTTCTACACAGTTGCTTGCTTTCCAGAGGGGCCGATGGATTCCTCTTCAAACTTCATACCCTTCTGCTCCACTTCCCCCAGTCCCCTAGAAAATAGCATTTTCCTGTTTTTTGGTTTGGGTTTTTTTATTATTACCAGTCTCATTCACAGAAGGAAGGTTGCAGCTGAGAGACTTCAAGTAGCTGGGGGCTTTGTGCATTGTTTCTGTTTTTACTGTTTTGTTTACATTGAGGGTTTTGGTGTTTTTGTTGTTTGTCGAACACTTTTGGCTGTGCTTTGCAGCTGCAGTTGGGATGCTTTTGTATTCTTAGAACAAATGTTTTAGCCTTTGTAGTGGTTTGGAACACAGGAAACGATGTATAAACCAAATGAAGTTGCAGTACCAGCGCTATGCTAACATAACCAAGATGTTAACACAGCTGAGGCATCTTGGAAGCTTAATTTTGCAGTCTGGACAGTGCACTGACACGTTCAACATTTTGTGGTTGATCTTTAACAGAAATATCTGGTCAAGGTGTTCATGAAGTGCCCCTTTGCAGGGAAAACTAGTCCTCCGGCTTGTTACAGAAATCTGCGATGAGTCTGACAGGAAGCGTGTGGTTATATCAGACTGAGTGGATGTCAAAATAGGCACTTGGTAATGACTGCAAACGAGCCCTGTCATTTACTGGCTTGTCATGGGAGGAAGAGTTTGTCATCATCTTCTTCAGCCAGAAGACTCGGGGTGGATTTTGCGGAGTCTGATTATAGTGCTTAGATACTGCTTCCTCCAAAATTAATGTTTAGTTTGAGTGATTAGTCTAGAAAAATCTGTTCTTTATCTAAAGATGGAGTGCCTCCTGCCATTAGCAATGAGGATTTCAGGCTCGTATTCAAAGCTAGACTAGTTACGATATTGTTTGGCTTTGGATTTGATTTAATTAAAACCTCTAAGTTTGAATCAAGTTACTGCATGTCTTCTGTATTTGCCTCAGAGAATGTAAGGTTTGTCTTGGTAGCAGCAAACATTTTGAAAGTGTTTATGGTGAATATCATATGATTCCCCCTACCTGTGAGGCCAGACTTGCTTGTGGTTTTAACAAGCAGAGGAAAAACAAAGGAGAAATTCAAGTTTCATGTGTTCACTCTAGGTTAGAAATAACTATTGTCAAATTTAAGCTAGAAAATTTTATAACTCAGAGAAGTTATAATTGGGTATTTGTAAAGCATAATGCAAACGTTTTACTCTGCGATTGTGGCGGTCTTTCCCCTCCAGAACCCTAGGTGTGTCATTCGATAGCAAGGACGTGTTGTCTCCAGTGACTGCCACCTTAATGACACTATTGCTTTGGATGCTGAAAATGTGCACGTCCGTGCTGGAAGTTGTTCTTAGTTGCTGGTTCAGGAGCTGGCTCTGTTGAAAAGAGAATTTGAGATCTCGGTCCAGCTTGTTTCCTCTCTCTAATGACATCTTGGCAAAATAACCCTTTATTTCTCCATTGCAGGGAAAGCTGTCATTTGCTAATGGCTTCGTTTTGGAGGGAACCTTTACTAACAAATTGGGCCAAGGCCTTCAGACGCACGGCATCCTGAACACATCAAACGAGCAGCTGGATGACAGGATAACCAAAGCGTGAGCAACAAGAGCTGACTTCTCGGGTCACGGCTTCTATTTTGACTCCACCTAGAGGAGTACTGGATCAATCCCTATAGGGATCAAGGCAGTCCTTGCTGAAAGAGTTGGTCTAAAAACTGGTTTATATGCAAGGAGAGCACAGTTTGTCATTTAATCTTAATGCCACATAGGAAGCAGAAAAAAGATGTTCTTCTCCCATCCTGCCACCATCCACACAGAGATACTCCCATCCTCAGACTGGAGAGAGTTTTGGAGGCTTAATGTTTTCAGTGATTTGTGCACGTGTGTGCGCGCACACATGCATTTCTGTGTATACGCACAGACAGGTCTGAAGCTATACAGGCAAAGCTGGGCTGCTAAAATGCATCACTTGCTCCTTTCCTGTCCCTCTGTGCTACTACATGAATGTTACCAGCTGATACTGCAGAGGTAGGAAAGCTACCAAAAATCAAGAAGTGAAGCACAGCACATGAGGCTCTTGAAGAAGAGCTTGAGTTGGGTAGAGCTCTATGTGGAGGAAGGCTGTGGAGCCAGGATCAAGGCTTCACAGAGCACTGAAGCCGCTTTGGCGGGCAATGGTGTGAATGAGGGGCAGGTCTAACTGAGCTGAAGCTATCAGGCCACATCCTTTGGCATAGACTCTTATCCTCAGGGCTAAACCCTGCAAAGGGATGCTCTGGTTGCCAGGCTGGAGGGCCTGGGTTCAGCCAGTTTAACCCAAATGAGGGAGTCCCAGTGGGAAAGACAGCGGCCTGTCTCCAAAGGGGAATTCCTTACGCACGACCCAGTTCGATTTCCTCTTCTTTCCTCCTCAAAACATTTCCAGTCCATCACAGTATCTGTGTTGTAGAAACAGCTCCTGTTTCCTGTGCTTTTCAGACAGCAATAACTACTGGTGGTGGTTGCTCAACTGTCTTCTTGCTGTCAGTGTTTTCTGCAGGCTTTCAGTTGAAATAAATAGTCTATATTTAGAAACATCCATAAGTGGAGCAGAAAGCCTCTGATCAATTCACCAGCAAAGATTCAGATTATTGATGTTTCATGCACCAGGAATTTTTCTTCACCCAAAGTACCTCGTTGTCAGGACAATAAACTTGAGTTGCTTTTCATTGAATTACCAGTTAGGCACTGCCACCTTTCTCTGCTCCCATAGTTCTTGTGTTACAATCTGATTCTGAAGAACCTTCCATATTTGAAGGTGAAGTCTGAAATAATTGAGGAGGGACGCAGAAAAAGCCTAATGCCATGTTGTGTTCTGCAGTCAGCTGGGCCTCGAGGAGTTCCCAGTAGAGAAGAGATGGAAGGGAATCTATGACCAGTTCCTGGAGTTCATCCATTCTGGCTGCAAAGAAGAAACGGAGGAGTCTTTCACGGGGTTCCACATACAAACGAGCAAGGAGCTGCGGAAATCTCAGGAGTACCTCTTCTGCCAAAGGTATCGCATGCCCTCGTTGCAACAGAGGAGCCCATTTGTGTAGAGAGGATAGTGGTTTGCATTAGGGTCTGCCATGTGTTAAAGTTATGAACCCAAGCATTATCCAGTTGTTCCTGCTCATGAGACAGGAGGATGACTTTTAATCCTGAATTTAAGGTTGTGCTGTTGAGACTGATTCTTATAAGTGAAAACTTGGATGGGATTCATTTGATTAAATGTAAGCATCTGCACAGGACCCAGTCATCGCTGGCTCCTCTTGTATTTGAGGGAGACCTAGTTGATGCAGAGCAAACTCATCTCCCCTTAAGAAAATATCTAAAATAGGTAAGGCGAGCATGTGCAGGATGCAACCCAGGCTGGTTGTAAGGGGGGCCGAAGGCGATGAATTTAGATAATCGCAGGTGTTGTAAGTCAGTGGGACAATTCCATTGAAAAAGGTAGAGAAAAATTCATTTGTTCCAATAGTCTTATTGCCCCCTTGGTATCCGCCTGCAATACCACTTGGAATTTATCCCAGTGCTTCACTGTGTGGTTTTCCTTCCTCACCTCTCATTTTTCAGGGGGGCTGAGGATGTATCCTGGAAGATAGAAGATATTCTTGAAGAGCTTGTCCAGCACCAGGGGCTGGAGTCACTACAGAGTTATTTAGAGAAGGTAAAGTTTAAAACCACAATGATCCACGTCTGTCCACCAGACAGAGACACAGTTGTAGCAGCTTTCTGTTGCTTTCTATTAGCACATATAACATCGCCAGTGACTTCAGGAGTCTTCTCTAAATTATGTTTGAATACCCGTGCTTGTGAAGAAGAGGGTTTATCCTTCATGCTTTTTGGACACTCATTTTGTGTACAGTTATACAGGCCAGGAAGTGATGATAAAGCTTCACTTTTGGTTCTCAAACCGTGTCAGGGAATAACCAGCTGCTGGAAATGATTAATAAACTTCCATGCACTCTCGGTGGTTGTTTTTCACTCAGCCAGCCTTTCCCTGAAGCACCCTTTGCTCCCTCTTGAATATCACAGCGAATCTCGTCAGAACAGCAAGTTCTACTAAGCATATTTCTGCCTGATAATGGGAGGAGAACGGGCTTGTGGCAGCAAAAATAGACCAAAATTATAGTTGATTACCTCCAGGCTTGTTCTCCTCTGCTGACAAGAGAAGGTTGGGTGGCCTTTCAGTGTTATCCTCTACTAATGGCAAGGGCTGACTTGTAAAATTTAATTTTCCTCTATCATGCAGGCACTGAAGTCTTCCCTGCACCCACTGGGAAAGCTGCTGAAGGCCTTGACGATAGCTTTTCAGGCAACATATTCTGGGATTGGGGCCAACAGACACTTGCTGACTATGGCACAAGAGGAAGTCAAGTACTACGCAAAGAAAATATGGGAGTTTTACCAGTAAGTCAAGCACGCTGAGTCCTTCCAATGGGTATGAGCATAGAGGGATTGTGGAGTAGACCATTGGGATAGTTTTTTCAGGTGACAGGGCTGCTTTATTTCATAGCATATTTCTTGGGAGAGTTGCTTCAGAACGGTGCTGGATAAAGAGTTATTTGCAATAACTAAGGTCATATGGACCTAGGAAACCTTTATTATGTCCATTGCTCAGTACGTGACCTGGGGGCTTTAAAGTGACTAAATCTCACTGAGTTATGGCAGCTCAATGAGCTGTTGCCCATAACAGACTTCATTTAGACAAGCACAAATATGAGCAAGAAACCTCACTAAGTAACGAGGACAGCAAAGTATATCAGAGCACACAACAGTGGTGTCCGATATCTATGTTTGGATGAAAAATAGCTTAAGCTTAACACGCCTTAACTCAACAAGAGTTAAGAACACGCAGTGTAAGTGCGTTGTTGAGGCTTGGCTGATGTGGGTAGTGACTCTAAAATGAGGTTGTTCAGTTGTGTGGTTGTGCCCATGGGTAATTAAGGACTGGATCAAAGGCATGATTGGGGTCCTGTTGCTTTTTGAATATCTTTTAGGAGAAGATACAAGAAATGCCACAGTAGGCAGAGGTGGGAAGCTCTGCCTCTGGCTGCGCTTGGGGGAGGTACTGCCTTAAAAATAAGAGGTTGGAGAAAAGCTCTGTTGTTATCGGTGTAGCCTTGTGTGCTTAAGGAAGGCTGCCAGCTCTACGATGAGGGGTTGTCTGTCCTGGAGCAGTCTGCGAACAAGCCGATGGGAACAAGTCGGATTTGATTCAGTTCATCTGCAGTGTGTCTTTGTCATGAAACTTGGTGTAGCAGAGGGATCTGAGCTCTGTTCATGAATAATAGAACAGGGCTGATGACCTGAGCATCGGTTCACGTGAAGGCACTTCTGAGCTCAGTGCATACCTTGGAAAGCTCGCTTCGTGCCTCAAGACCTTTTGGGTGCAATGTGGGGAGGGAGACACCCACCTTGCTCCTCTGTGCCCCTGGCTAAGTTTCCTACTTCTACACCAAAAAAAGGCAACCTCTCCTAATCCCCATTTTAAGATTATGAAGTTTTGGCTTGGAAATATCAAGACAACCCCAAGCTACTTTTCCAGAGTAGAGTATGAACATCCTCTAATGTTCACAGATAGATTAGAGAATGGGTTGGTATGACAGGTCCTGAAACCTCATGTTCCTTGAGTGGGAATACAAGGGTCTGCATGCTCAACGCAGACCCCAGTTAGGATCTCCAGAGTGACCACCCTACTCTTCAGAAGCTATGGAGATTTTTTGAAACACTTATTCATTCCTGGAGGCTTCTGCTGGTAATGGAGAAAGCCCTCAAATAGTGAAACTTGAATACTGAAACAACACTGCAAGGATTACAGAGAGCTTTACTGATACCCCACTCAGTGCTGGGACAGCTGAGCTGCTCACTTGTGAATAACAAACTACCCTTAAAAAAAAAAAAGTAGGGGGGGAACTAAACCTTGGTTCTGCTCCTCTTCTAGGGGTTTGCTCCATCTGGCACTGGAACAGAAAGGCCAACTGCCCGCAAAGTGTGTAGATGGAGAGACAAGGTATGTGTCACCACTGGTTATCTAATTTTAAGCTGCTTGGACATACGGGGTGTCTTCTAAAATACACTAAGTGCTGAACTGATCGTATTTGTCCATTTGAGTCAGGTTTAGTGCCCGCGCCTCTCTGAGTGAAAAGCATTCAGTAGTTCTGCCGTGAAGCATGAGAGCGACTTCTGATCATGTTCTGTGGCAGAACAGAGCAGTGAGTTGGAGGTGTGTGGGGCACAGCCTCGCAAGATTACCCACACCAGCTACTGTGCAGTATCAGGGTTGTGTGCCAGACAGCAGTCCCAGCGCTACCATGTGCTTTGCATTAGTCGCAGGAACTTGTTCATTGTGGGAATGGTGACTTCCATACCAGCACTGAGAGAAAGGCAGGCCTGGAAATAGGGAGCAGAGTGAGGGAAACGTGGCAGAAGAGGTAGAAGACATGATGTTCCTAGAATAAGAAGGTAGAAATAATTGTGGGAGACCCAGGTTTAGGGTTTTTGGGGCTAGGAAGAAGCATTTTTGTTTAGCTGTCCCCATTTGGACTGGATTCGTCTTTGCTGTAATCTGCAGCCATCCCCACGTGGGCTGAATGAAGCCAAGAGGTTGGTGGAATGGTAAGCAGCTGGAAAAGGGCTTTATCTGAATTATTTGATCTTTGTCCCTCAAGAAATAACAAGTGTTCTACTGAATCAGCTCAGAAAGAACAGCGGGAGATAGGTCTCTGGTGCTCCAGGCTTCTCCCAGTGGCTAAGGAGATCTTGTGGAGAAACAGCAGCCTGTCGTGTCCTACAGCATAAGATGCGCTTGCACCTTCAGCTTGTGGGCACACGCATGAGAGTGTTGCATAGGTCACTACTGTCCAACCGTGACATTGAACTCAAAGGTGGAGGAAGGAGGGGAGGACAAGGAGAACACCTTGCAGTCTCAGAAGCTGCCTCTTCCATTGTGTGCCGTGTGGCTCTTGGCAATATCAAGGTTATAGGTCTCACTGTAGGACTCTGCTTTGCTTTTCTCTGCCATAGTGACCAGAAGGCATGCAGTGTGGTCCTGCCGCTGATCTTGCCTTGCTTCTACCCCGAGCTTTTCATGCTCTACATGCTCTATCACGAAAGAGAAGATGACCTCTACTGCCAAGGGATCGTGGACCTAAGTCTATTTCCTGACATCAAGCTGCTAGAGTTTCTGGATGTGCAGAAGTAAGTGACGTTTTTTCATCCCAGGATGCAACCCCATGATCCCAGCTGGGAAGGCAGCAGCCAGGGAAAGCTCTGATGGCACAGGAGGAAAGGACATATAACCTGTTCCTGGGTCCCTCGTTGGCTGTGTCACTGAAGTTTTTCCTAGGCTGCCAGAGGAAGTCCTGCCATGGAGTGCCTGCAGTACTGTCTGGAAGGACAACACTGGCTAGTGGAAAGCTGCTATTATCTATACTAATTCTCATTTTTGTGTAGCAAAAATCTTCTTTTCTAGCTCACCAAACAAATGGTTTGCTCCAACTCAGGACCAATCAGACAGAGTTTATAAATGTGTCTTAGAAAGGGCTATAGTCCGTCCAATGGTACCTGCTGGAACAATGTAGGCACACAGTCTCAAGACAGGGGAAAGGCTGCGGAGCCAGATGTTTCCTTCATCCATTCCTGCAGCTATAGATCCATCTTTGGAAGTGATATGTGAAGACCAGTGACTCAGACTCAAGAGGCATGAGAGCTTTTCTAACGTAGCATCATCTGCAGCTCAAGGACTCGAGCAGGGTAGCAGGAGACCCAGAGTCTCAATTTGACAATTTGATTCAGTCTAGACTCAGTGGGAGGAATTGAATCTGAAAGTGCCAAAACTCTCCGCTGATTATTACAGGAGCATCTGTGAGTAAAATGAACCATATGCTCAGGTTAATGGGTCTAAGCTATTAATTTCTCCTGTAGCAGTGTAACAAGAGGACCAAACTCAGCTTCATGCACCTACAAGACCTTATCTCCTCGTTCAAGGTGATGCTAAAAACAGTCAAGACTGACTTAGGGTGGAGTTAAGACATGGATATCTACCTCCTAAAAGTTCTCTCTGTAATCTTCTTTCAGACACCTCTGGCCTCTGAAAGATCTCACCCTGACAACCAACCAGGTAAGAAATAACCCTAAGAGGTAGCTTTGGTGTGTTAGTGAGATGGCACTGGGGCTACCTGTTGGTGCTGGCTAATGATGGAGCTTCACCTAAGTAACCACAGGGCAGACTGCACTCAGAAATCAGAGATATATGACGTGTTGATTAGTTATGACCTGTAGCTACTGCATATGAACTTCCATGGATGGGAATACGAGCTCTGCATAGGATTGCTTTGTAATGCTCTGCTTGGTGGTGTTTCAAAGACATCTATGTCCAGAGTGGCACTGTAGACATCTAAGTGTGTTCAGAGTGGCACTGTCTACCACAGCTTTATTTTGGCCTCCTTTTATGGGCAGCAAACACACTTATTTTGGGTCCAGCGCTGAGGAGCCATGTGGTGGCTTTCGAAGAGATGCTCTTACAGAGGCACAACTCTTTGTCTCCCTTTCAGAGGCGGTCCCTTATCAAAGACAAGTGTTTCCTGTCCGCCACAGAGTGTTTGCAGAAGCTGATGTAAGTCACCGTCCATAACCTCTGACTGACAACCAGAGCTGACAGGGTTTTTCTGTATTCTGGGAACTGCTGTAAATTTACACCTGTTTACTAAAGCATATCTGGGTCAGCCTGCAAGATAATTTAAAGTGTTTGTGGTATTATTTCAGTTGAAAGAAAAAGTAACTTCTATAGAAATATTTTTTTTCTCAAAAGAATGTCAAGACAATACCTAGTGTGTTTAAATGCAACCCTCCCCGGCAAATATCTTCCCTTAATTTTGCGGAGACATTCCTACACAAAATCTGACTTTGAAATGGAGTTCGCTCGTGTCGGTGTGCACGGCAAGTTGGGCCTGGCTGTGACTGCCTGGTCATGATAGAGCCCATTGCTCTGGACACACGGAGATACATGAGGGTTATCCATCCAGTGCGGCATCCCAAGATGTTAATGTAGCAAAGCAGAGCTCAATTTAAGAAGCTTAGCTTGATTTCCTGGCTTGAAGTCCAGCCTAGGGGATGGTGCTGCAGTAATGAGTGGAAAGGAAGATAAAGGTGAGCGGGGAAGTGTTGTGAGATCCATCAGACAGGAGCTCTCGGGTCCCCAAGTACACTAGTCCTGGTGAGAGCCTCCCTATGAAAGCCAACGTGACTTCTCTTCTGGGAAAGGCAGCACAGGCTACCTGTACCCTGGCAGGGTGTTACAGGCAGAAAAAACAACCTTATAGATGTGACAACTGCATTAGTCCCTCACAAGAGCGATATCTTGATAGAACTGCCCAAAGTGATTCATCTCATACTGTTTAGCTTTTATGTGAGGGACTGTGATTCAGGTTAGTCCTGTCTAAAATGAAAGACTGACACTGGGACGAGCAGGTCATGCTCAGGACTTGAGAAGACTCAAGGTCCATCTGGATGATGTTATACCCTGGTGATGCCTTCTGGCGCAACCTTCTTGACCCCTTTTTGGTGCAGCCATTTGAGACGATTGACAGACTTTTTTGTAGCGTGATGGTCTGCTCTGGGTTCTTTTTAGTTCTGCTGCTTTATCTCTTTACCTGTGTAGTGGAAGCACCTTTGACATGGCTGTTTTCACACTGACAGCACCACGGTGGACCCCCGGGAAAAACTGGTGATCCTCCAGAAGACGTATGAGGAGATAGAGAGCACAGTGTCCCGGGTGGTGGAGAAGGACTACAAGCTCCCCATGGATGACCTGTTGCCCCTACTGATGTATGTTGTATCCCGAGCAAAGTAAGTGGAAGCTTTTCATTTCCCAGTCCCACTGTTGTGTGATACCTCAATCAGAGAAAGGACAGTCATGTTTCCGGGCCAAATTGTTTAAATGAAAAAACGGGGTTTGTGTTTTAACACGCTTTTTCCTGAGCTGTATTTGGGGTTTCTGTGCGCTGCTGCCTGCCAGCTGTGGTGTGATGGTGTTGACCATGATATAAAGTGGCTAGGGACTTCCTGAGTGTCCATCTCTCACCTGAGAGGATAATTCAGGGTTGTCACGAGAAATGCGGTCTTACCTGCGTATCAGATTATAGGAACGTGAAGCCTTTGAAGGCCAATAGTTGATGCCTTCAAGGCATCATCTGTATATCACACATCTTCTATTTTCCATTCTCAGTGGGGCACTGTGATTCAGTTCGGAGACTAGGAAGGTCTTGAACACTGTCCGCCTCGTAATTAGACTTTTCCTGTGTAGGAATGACTGTAAACGTAACGCATTTCTGCCAAAGAGGCTCTGTCCGTGCTGCTTTCACTGGAACTGCAGAAACCTGCTTACATCCAGTAGAATGAAACTGTTTTTTTTTTTTTTTTCCTGGCAAATTTGAGTCAAAAATCCTTGCCTGCCTTCCTGGATGTGCTTGGTCTCCAAAAAAGAGTGAAATGTTTAAACTTGGAGCCATGAAATACAGAAGTTTGGGGTTTTTGTTTGTTTTTTTTTTTTCTGCAGTCAGGTTGGTGGATACAGGTTTGTTTGCTAGGCAGCTTTCTCGACTGTAGATGAGAGAGGAGGGGAATAAGAGAGACTGTGAAAAATGGAGGAGTTGAAATTTTCTTATGATTGAGCGTCTTTGCTGAGATCCAGTCATTCCAGATACCTAAAGGACTCAGCCTCCAGAAGATCGAGGTGATGCACAAGGAATCAGCAATGGACTTCCAGATGCGTGCTTCCCTCTCTCCATAATCTGATTTCAAACTTATGCCCGCAAGCACCGGTGCCCAGAGATTTGTTCTAGTTGTGACTTTCTTCCCCCCCCCCCCCCCCCCCACAATGCTGAAATCCATCTGATCAGAGACTTGATGGACCCCACCAATCAAGGAGGACTGTACGACTTTCTGTTAACAGCACTGGAGGTAAGGAAACGTTTTCGAGTGACAGTTGCAAGCTGCATTAGCCTTTCCTGAGTAGCAGAGACACTGATGCATTATACTCTCATTTAATTTTAGAGGGCTGTTTATATGCCTCGCGCAGGTTATTTTCCTTCTAGTCTAGAGACTATGCTTATCTTTTAATTTATAATGTGCAGATTTAATCTTTTGTCTAGCCTGTGGGGCAGCATGGCTTCGCTTTGTGCGCAAGAGACCCAGGCCCAAAGTTCCGAACCTTCTCCTTAACGGGTTGCTCTGTTCCTTGCCCAGTCATGCTACGAACACATACAGAGAATGAGACTCCACCAAAGAGAGAACTGCCCCGTGACTCACAGCTCCTGAGCCCGAGGACCCGAAGGGAGCCTCCTCCCTGCTGCACTTTCTTGACCGAACACTTGGATGAAGAAGCAAGTCTCTGCTGTCCTGGCTGCCTTTAAAAAGGGAAGAACGGATATTTATCAGATGAGGGTTTCTTCCTGGGTTTTCTCTTGGACTAGCTACGATCGTAAAGCACCGACGTACGGACGCTGTGGGCTAAAAGCCTTCAATACACAACCTCGGCTCGTGTTTGGGAACCTCTTTGCGGAAAGTGGCCGAGGCTTCTTTTGCCCTGTAGTTTTATTTCACTTTCCTGCAAACAGCAATTTGCCTTGAAACCTCGTTTAACCGTTCTCTCAGATGCTGTGTTTGTTTTGCACTGGTAAACTGACGTAAGGGAGAAGAGGTTATTTTATAGAAAGCAGGCAAATGAAACCACAAGACCTGTTTCGGTGGGACTATTTCTGGTTGGCAGAAACGTGGCATGGAGGTGGCCTCTCCTGTCCATGCTCCTGAACAACCTGTTCCTGGAGTGAGGTGGCTTTTCCTGTGTCATCCTAAGAGGAAGGTTTTTCCATTCCTCTTCCTACCTATGCCAAACTCAGTACCTCTCCGTTGCATTGTAAAGCTGCTACCGACTAACTTCCTCGTTTTACAATACTTACAAGCGTGTATTTATGCTCTGCAGACTCCTGTTAAATCTCAGGGATATCACACTTGCACCTTCAACATGCTAGTGCTGCTTTGTAATTCTGCAGGGGTTCGCGTGTGCCTAATAGAAAGGACATACCTTGTCCTGGGGTGAGAAATCTCAAATCCTGGTGAGACAAAACATAAACCCACCTGGCTTTCTGCACTGACAGAGCTGCAAAACCACTGTTTTGTCTAGGTGCACAGCTTCGTGCTGACAGATCACCCACTGACGCCAGTGGGGTACAAATCAGACTAGAATTGGGCTGGGTTTTACGCTGCCTTTATAAAAGGCAAATGGATATTTGGTATCCTGTTCCTATCAGACAAAAATACTAATGTCTGAGTTGCATATTAGAGCAAAAGCTCTTTTGAACTAGATTTTAACCTGCTTTTTTTTTTTTTACAGTTTGACTTTTTATTGTCCAGCTCTGTGACTTCAGGAAAACAAAACAAAACTCTACAAGCTGTTTCCTCCTGTTTACCACAAGTATTATGCTTTAATAAATAGTACACTGATTACAATAGTTAATATATTGGTATGAGAGTATCCTAATGTATGTTTTGCAATAACTTTGTATTTAAATAAAGCTGGTTAATTTTTAAGAGATTCCAGGCTTGCGTACTTCTTATTCCAATCTTGTTGCTGTCTTCAGGCATTTAAGAATTTGCTTTCCTCTCTTTAACTTTAGAAAACGTGTGGCTCCCCTACTGCCTTGATCGTTCATGGGAATGGAGACTTGAACTACAAATTAGTTTCCTAATGTACTTGTAAGAGAGACTGAATCAATAAAACTAACTTTTGTGCTTCTGTTCCCTGCCGAATCAGTAAGGAGAACATGGCTTAAGCTTTAAGATCATTTCCTGCAATTAAACTACTATTTTTTTACCCCATTGTCTCGCACTGATCACACTAAGCCTTAGCAGGCCTTATGAAGGAGGGCTGTTACGCATCTTCAGAGCTGAAGATGCTGCGGTGCAGAGATCGCTCGGGTGAAGAGAAAGGGAGAGCGAGCAGTTGCGGCCCTCCCTTCCTTTACTTGAAAGTCTCTTTCGCCGCCCCACCACGCTGGCCTATCTCCTCCCTTACCAGCGTTCCACAGGGAACGGGAACTAACTGCAGAAAGGATGCCTCTTCCCCGAGAACTGCCGCCCGAAGGCTTGCATCGCAGCAAACTCACGCCATCCATCCAAATGAGGATGTAGTCTGCTGGACAGTGCAGTGGCTAAACTGGTCCTGGGTACGTTGAGATCCCGGGTTCTCGGTGCAAAAGCTAGGCTTCTATTTTTGCTTTTTTCACACAGCAAAGCCAAGCAGTTCCAGCTTCATGGGACACGAAAGGAAAAGTACCGTTCATCTAAGCAAACCCTTTAGAAAATTGCAGTGTTTAAAGTGGTTGGTGCCAGTACCAGTTACACAACGTGCAGTGAGACTGGGGAATACAAGACCAAAACCATACTTTCCTACCCACACACTGACTGTCAGCTTTAAACCATTGTTCCTCACCTCTATGAAATCTCACCCTATTCATCTAGGGAAGAAAGCTCGAGCTGCCTGTCTTTGAGCATGTAAACAGCCATAAGTAACAGCTGTGAACTTTTAATTTCAGAGTTGCTTAAAACTGGCAGTTTTCCAGTCCAAAGAAACACCCTGCCAGAAGGTTGAATCACTGAGATGTAGTCACAGCTGTTAAAAAAAAAAGTTTCTTCCATGCTCTGGGTATTGATTTTAATTTCAGGTACTGCTTCCTACTCAAAATACAGAACTTCTACTAGAAAATAGGACATGCAAAATGCATGCGTGTAGAAAGTCCACAGGATTATCTAGAAAACAATGAGATTTTTCAGCCTACTGAAGATTTCTACTATTGCACTTTGTAAACATAAGGTTATTAGTTGCTCTTACTGGTCATCTGGTTGAAAATTGAGGAAGTTCTTGAGCTATAATTCAAGTGAGCCCTAAAGGGGCAATGAAGGTAACAGTGTGCAGCCATTTGTGCTTCTAGGCTTTCTCACCAACCAGTAAAAGCAAGAGGGATACTTCACTGGAAATACTCTTCTAGCCCAAGGGTAGCATTCAGGTTGCAAATTGTGCCTATGTAACCATGCAGTAGTGCTATTTGGTGTGTTAACAGCATGGCTTTTTTAGGAGATAATATGAGGCTACTTGCTAGCTTCCCTGATTAATCAAGTCTCTGCTTGATAAAATACTGTGCCGTGAAATAGTGTGTAGAAATGTGAGAGTACATTCAGGTGCCTCCTTTGGAGCTTGGGGTGGATCACACGCTTAAATTATTAGTGGCAGATTTGCTATCGGGACTCCAGCTTCCTGATATGTTTGTTAAATGTAACCCTGCAGACCCTGGGACAGTAGGGAGGCTGACTCTACCCGAGACTTTCAGCTTTAAAGAGATGCCACTGTCCAGGAAAATAGTACAGTCAGCTCCTCCACATCCAGGCTACAGCTGTTGAGCCAGCTCAGGCTTCAAGGGAAGCTAACTAACTAAGGTCCTCTAATATTTAAAAAAAAAAAAAGGAAAGGAAAGCAAAAGAAAGGCTGAGCTGCACCTGGAAGCAGGACAGGTCTTAAAGTAATTTAGGTGTGACCAGCCAAAGCAGAGCTTAACTGCTGGAGCCTGCAGTGCAGGTTTGCTGTCTGTATACAGAGCCCTCAGAAGCAGAGGGAATATGGTGCAGAGCACTGCAATCAGAGTGTTTAGCCCCGACAGACCTAAGCTTGATCCACAGAGAATTTCTGTTCCCCTTCCCTGAATGCATAATCACCAGCAGGGCTCATAATATAATACTAACATGATTTGGGTTTTTCCTTTATCTGAGATTTTTTTTTTCCTGTACAATTACTCTAGACACTCAAATGCTGTCAGCTAAAAAGTATCCAGTCTTCTCATGAATGTACTCTCTCCCCACTCTATATTAAGGCTCTTTGTACTTGAACTGCAACAGCTATTAAACGGGGAGGAGTCAGTCTTCTACAAACACCCATTTTGCAAAAGGTTCATTTTTACAAAGAACTGAATAAATAGGAAGTTAGAGTAGTGCTGTATCTATTGCTGCTTTCAAGTGGTGGAGCAATGCCTCTGGAGGTGGAGAAAGTGACGTCAGGTCTAGTTTCTTGAAATCTTCATTAGCACTCAGTGATGTTAACACCTTCACAGTCCTCTTTAAATCAAACACCGCATGGAGCATGCCCAAGGTGGAAATGGCAGCTTTTGGAGTGTTCTTTGCCAAAGCTTCGTCATCGAGGCCGTTTTCCAAGACAGAAATCCTGTTCTCTGCAATAACTTTGAGGAAGTTGTAGAACTCCTTGTAGTCTATACCCGTGCAAGACTTCATGATCAACTAGGGGAAAAAAACAGCACTGAAATGGAAACAACTCTCTCTCATTTAGAGTAAGAATTACAAAAACATATTTTATCAAGCTAGTAACTACCCGGAATCATGAGTAACCATGTTTCATAATTTTTTTTAATTCCCTGATGGCACTAAAATACTTTATCTTACTTGAAATGCCACTAGCCCCAAAAGCAACAGTCTGTTTCTTCTAAGTACTAAATGGCTGTGTTTTTTGAAACTATTTTTGAAGGATATCAACCTAGCAGCAGTAACAGCCTCCAGAAATAAACTTTAGATGTGTTTCATGCTTAAGATTTTGGAAGTGTCCAAGATACAACACTGCTCAGTACAGTTACGTGTTCTGACTGCATCGCTTTGCAGACACAGAAACCTGCTGCCACCCTCACCTTCATTTTGCTTGTTTCAGATTCACGGTTTTGTCATGAACGGTCTTCAAACCAGTTCTTCTGTGTGGGGTCTGTCTTATCAGTTCTTCTGTTTACATGAAAAAGCACTTATATTTTATAAAGGGGAACGTAAATACTACAGAAAGGATTGATCTCGATGCTAATACTAACCTTGATAGTTGAAGAAGAGCAGTTGAAGCATTAGTTTTTCAGACATCCTAACCTCCCTGACATAGCAAATATGCCCGGGCACAAGCCTTTCCCTATCTTACTAAAGTAATATTTGGTTTCCTGCAAAATGAAGCTGTCACCAGTTCCTACTTCCATATGAAACATACTAATTCCAGGTATGAGGTTAAGGACTTGTGTGTCTTAGAACTCATAAGGTGGTGCAATGCACCCTGGAAATATACGATCCTCTAATAGAGAGCCAGGCAGCCAGCATCACGTTGTTATACCTGGCATTGTAGGTGCCAATCATCCATAGGGTCCTTCCATTCATTGATTTCCCGCTGGACAGCTGCTAATTCATCCTGCAGGAAGCACCACATTATAGCCACATTGCAGCCATTCACCCAGTTGTGGTTAATGGAAATGGTATCCTCCTGAAGGAATAATTTAAATGGTTACTAGTTTCTACACAGGAAAGTGTGAGAAAACAACTGTAACAACACCGATGCTGCAAAATGTAAAATCATATTCCTCAGCAAGGGCAATGCTTCTTCGGCACCAATACCACCGCTGTGCTGAAAGGCTGTCTCTTTCTAATTGTCCCTGAACAATCAAATCTTGTTTCACCCTGTAAACCAGCAAACGCCTCTAGTTCCTCTGTCTGAGCATACCTTTTAAGGGCACAAAGGTGGGAGAAGGTGGTGGGGAGAAAGGAACAGGGTTGTTAATTTTGGTTTGTAACCACGAAGACCAATTTGTCAGCATTTTCCATTAAATTACAATTTACAGTTAGAAACCAAGATTAACGGCCTCACCCTAAGTCCATCCCACCCAGCATCCTGTTTCTCAGCGACTAGTAGCATCTAATGAGGAAAAGCAAAAGAAAAGAGGGTTCAGACAGCTTCTTCAATTGTACATTCTTCCAGCTTCCAGTGGCCAATGACCCAAGCAGCTTATGAGTCCAGGCCTGCTTTTAGCAGTCATCTTGAGCGGTCACTGACAGACCTTTTCTCCGTGAATCTCTCTAAACTTTTTTGCAGCCCAGTTAGACTTTTGGCATGCACAACACGCTGTGGCAATAAAAGTTTGATCTGATTCAAGCCTGCTGCCGGATTATCGCTGTTACGAAAAGTTTGGTGTCAGTTATCTTACCAGATTGTAAACTTGATGATGCCATCCACTGGGGATGAAGACTATCTCCCCTGCTTCCTGCACAATTTCAACAGGGGGTTGACTTTGGTTGTAGCGAGGGTAAACACTCCTGTCCTGAAGACTAGGTGCAGTCACGTCGAAGGGCAAGTTGCCATGGCGGTCCTTCAGGTACTCCTCCTGTCCCGCGGGGTACAACAGCCATTTCTTTCTCCCGCATATATTGGCTGACCAGCTATAGGAACGGAAGACATCAGCGTGGAAT